TACAACAAGAGCAAAAGAGGTAACGTCTACATCTGTTTCAGGCTACACAAGCATTTTCAAACTGATGGTTCTTTTTACATGAATAGAGCTTATTATGTTCCACTTCCAGGAAGAAAAGATGATGAGATGGACCCCATGGATCCAAGTGCTTATTCTGATGCTCCAAGGTACAGTATCTACATAGAGACTCACCTTAACACTTACAGGCAGGTCAGCATCACCACTTAACGTATGTTAATAATGAAATGCATCTTTTCATTAGCCCCTCTTTGCCTGATATAATGCCTGTCTGTCAAACTCCGTACACCGGCTGTTTACATGACAAAGCAGGGATGCTCCTTGTCACTATTACATGATCGGGGTATTTGTCTCAGATTTGAAAAAGCTTGTCCAGAGCCACAGTTTTCTGATTTTGATGTGTAAAATTAGTGTTCCCCTTTAAAGGTATGAGCAGACTGTAGTAGTTCCAACAGTTTATTACAACATATATTCATCTTTACAGGGGCACGTGGTCAAGTGGCCTGCCCAAACGTAATGAAGCAAAGACAGGTGCAGACCCCACAGCGGCGGGGCCTCTGTTCCAGCAGCGGCCGTACCCCAGTCCAGGAGCCGTGCTTCGGGCTAACGCAGCAAACCAACTACCCAAGGAGTAAGCAGAGCTCCCACTAAGAGAACGACTCACAGAGACATGGCTTGTCTTCCCGTTCACTCATGTCACAGAATGAAATCTCTGAAGTTTTCTTTCCTGTGTGAATATGTCAGAAACTGAGTACTAAGCTTTTGTGCAGCAGTGCATTCATACTCTTGTCAAACATATAGAACAGTTGTAAATATGTTTTTATATGACTTAAAGATTGACCCTCTTGTTGTTATTAGGGGCATTAGTGAACATCATTTGCTAATTAAATATTGCAGTGAAAATGACTTGTTCCAACTTTTGACATTTTATTACAAAATAATGCATTAAAATCTCAAGAAATCCATCATTTTTAAACATTACAGAAACAATATTTATGGTAATATGGGATGGGGAAAGAAGACAGATCATGGGAATTAAGCTCAGCAGTGGGTCAGTGGTCAGCTGCTCCTACATAGTGACAAACAGCGTCATAGTCTAGCGTCAGCACTTTCTCCTCGTATTGGTCGAGCTGAACCATCGCTTGGCACTTGTTCTTGTCCCGCTGGAGAATATGGCCAACCTGAGCAGACAAATGTGAAAACAGTGATTAGTAAGAGTTAATCACATTTAAATGAGTACGTACATGTTTCAGGAAAGATGATCTTTGCTCACCTGCCCCCTGTGTTTACCCAGTACAACCATCACAGAATCGGAATCGCTTTTTGGGACAATGGTTTCCAGCATGTCCTGCTGCACATCTGCCCACGAAAAAAGAAACAGTGGGTCACTGACAGAAGAATTGTTGTTACTGTTAGAACATTAGTCAGAGGCAGAGTGGTTTATCATAGTTCAGCAGCTATTACCTTTCTACACTCTTAGCTAATAAGGAGCTGATAATATGTTTCCTGGCTTAGCTTCAGACATGGGCGTGGTACTGATCATCTCACCTAATATGAGAAAAACAACCCCCAACATACCAAAACGACAAACTGCTCCATTAAATTCCTAATAACTGCTATGTGTTGGATCTAAAAGATCAACTGACCTATTCCTTACTTTTTGTTTTGTACTATTTGTTTAATAAATGTTCCACTTATAAAATCTTTATCCAGAGCAAATCTACAAGCTTATTCCATGGTTTTTATCATAACACTGCAGCTAGCCAGATATAGGGTGAAGATTAACGGGTATGGTTCTTACTTTTCACATACTTTTCACATTTCTCTTACAACTCTATTTATGGAAAGAAAAAGCCGCCACAAGGAGCGAGATAGCACTAATGACACACCGTCTAACAGTCTTCCCTCTTCAGTTCGGCACACACAGGTAGTCGGTGCCAGGACATCCTCCACACGCATCTAGGTGAAAATGAGATGAATTTCATGAGCCGCTGTACGACAGAACCCTGACATTTCTAATTATTAACACCATGCAGCCAAACATTAGGTGCAATATTCCATCAGTGTTTCTGTGACTGCACTTTTGTTACCCTGTTCCCAGTATGTTTTTTGTTTTTTTTTTTGGACTGCTCCTACTTTAGAACTGTGTAATTAATCAAAAATAATTCATCAGAAATTTCCACCATATACTGACATACATGTGTAAAAGTAACAAGATAAGCCTGGTGAGTTCAGACAGGATGGCTAAACATTTCCTGGTCCACAATAAACCACAGAAATTCCAAAATCCTAAGGAGGCTGCAGCAGGCCTAGCAGTTTATACAAAAGAAAGACTGCCAAGGTGATTTCTATTAGTACCTTAGAGTTGTAGTACCTTCCCCCTTTGAAGGTTTTATCTATAAAGCGAACTTTTAAGTTTCTCTGAAGCCATGAGGGGGCAGCTGGTGGTCGCCTCGATTCTTTAACAGGAGGCTTCTCCCTAAAGGGGAGACACGAGAAAAACAAATATATTTACTCAAAGAAAACACTGATAAAATATTAACCAACTAATGGGTGGAAATGAGAAACTGCTGTGCCAAGTGTAAAATACTGGTCAATAAGAAGCAAAAAGCACATTGTTGTATCATCATTGTTTAAAGGAGAACATGAAGGAAATGTACCTGTCTTGACTTGATTCTCTGTGTTTCCTCTTTCTCTCATCTTTTCCTTTGTCTCTTTCTGAAGACTTGTGTTTTACCTCATCACTATTACTCCGCCTGTCTTTCCCTTCCTGTTTCTGTCGCTCCTTCTCTTTCTCCTTTTCTTTGTGAGCTTTACTGAGGTGACCTGGTCAGTGGACAAACGGCGTTACTGGCAAACAGTCAAAGCACTGCAGCTGTGTGTGAGCAGTTGGGTTTTCATTCTTGGAACAAGGCGCTTTAGATTACTGAAAATACAAAATGTAGCTCCATCGCTGTTGTGTTTTTCTTGAAGGCCGAAATGTTAGTAGACTAGAGAATGAACCTGTTTACCACAGTCAGTGCTTTACAGCCGGATGTTTTCACAGCTAGTGTTTGGTGTATAAAATATCAGGAAATAATGAAAAATGTCTCTCAAAGCCCAAGTTGCTCGTTCTGTCTGACCTACAGTCCCAAACTAAAAACTATGCAATTTACTAACAGAGAAAACTAAGACAAATATTTATAATTTAGAAATAGCGCCCAGAAATTGTTGCAGATAAATCTGTCAATCAACTAATCACTTTAGGTCTATTCACAGCAGCAGGATGCTTCAGATTTGTCCCTTCAGTTACTCAACCTAATGTGGTTAACTTAAAGTTACCGGTTATTTCTGCTTATTAAAGCTGTATTATATTGCTGTTGTCATGATATACATGTAATAAAAATCATATTGTAAGTTAAAATGGAAAGAGGGTAAACACAAATTTGGTATTTGATGGCATCTGACCTGACCAAAATGGACTGGAAATACAACCTAATTTGGCACAAAGTAAGACAGAATCAAAGTTCATTAGCATTCAGGTTATTTTCTACAAAATATGTGCCTGTTTCTATTTGTTACTCACTGAGGTCTTTGCTGTATTTGTCATATTCCTTGCGCCCGACCAGTTTAATTGCGTACTGGCTGACTGTCACAGTCTTGCTGCCGATAGCCAGCTTCACCACAACACGAGCGTTGTCTGGATCAATGCCTTCAATCTGCAGCCCAACAGGAAATGTTAGGGGTGAAGTCAGAGAAAACTGTCTATAGAAATAAACTAGGTAGTTGTGTGAGATCTTACTTCTGTATATGGAGCATGCCAACAGACATTTCAGATTTACTGTACCTTGCCATACATATCTTTATGTGGCCCAGACTCCACCAGCACACAGCCCCCAGGAGCCATCACTAGTTCCTCCTCCTTCCCTCGCTCCTCACCTGGCTTGGGAGGACGCTGATATCTGCTGGGCTCCAGGTCCTTTATTGCTGAACGATCTGCTCCAAGACCCAAACCTTTTGGACGGAACTGATGTTCGATTGGCTTCACATCTCTGTAGCAGACAGGGAGCAAGTGTTCAACAGCAGTCAATAAACAGAGATGACAACGTGTGCAGGATGTGTAATAGCCAGTTTAACAAATATAACAGATCCTCTCAACTGCTTCCCCTTACGAAAAACAACAACAGTTTCCATTCTGTTACATAGTTATTACTGCTCTTATGCAGCTGCAGTGTATGATATTGTTGCATGTTAATGTGATAGTATTTTCTCAAATAATTGATTGATGTTTAGTTTAGGAAAAGTCAAAAAATAGTGAAAAATGTTCTGAGAGCTCAAATGTCTTGTACGGGTCGACCAACAGTCCAAACTCAAAGATGTTCAGTTTACAATCAGATCAACTGAGTAACAAATCCTCATATTTGAAAACCTGGGGCTAAACACTTTTTAACATATTTGCTTGATTAAATAACTTAAATAATTAATTAAATTTTGTTGCCAATCATTTTTTTTGTAGACTAATTGTTTCAAATTTGGACACTGTTCAACATAATGTGGAATCAGGAGAGGAAATGTTAAAGTAAGTTGTCCATTTGCTGCTTACTGTTTAAAGGTGTGTCCAATGCCTTCCCCTTTCTTCCAGCCCATCCCCCCTTCAGCATAGCAAGTCCATAAGCCTCGACAGGAATGCTCTCATACTCCGCCTCTGTTGACTGACGAAGACATGCAGTGGTATGAGCTGTTTGGAAATCCAGAGGCATACATTAAATGTTCAAACAAAAAGGAAAAACAGAAGCCACAGTCTGCATTTAATGTGCATCTGGACTGGGAGGTGTGTTTCTGTAACATCTGAGTTCCCAAAACACTGACTGACAGCAAAGCAGTTTTTGACACCGGTCTTATTCAGCCTTTTGTCTCCAGGCTGTCAGAGTCAGGCCAGGCTGATTAAAGTCACCCTGCCCTGCCCGGGCCACAGCAGCCCTCATCAGAGCAGTGGTTCATTCCTCATCTCTCTCCACTGAAGGCTTCCCTACGGGGGAACCTGGGACCCCAGTCTCACTGGGTAGACTGCATTATGATAAGGTCTAGGGCACAGTGAGCAAGTTTCCCCTGACTCCCATGTTTTAGTTACATCTAAAGTGACTGAGAACAGATATAGGATGACAGTGATGAGGCATGAGGCCTCTGATGAAAACAAATAGAAAGAGGTCTCATTGGCTGCCTGCATGTCTCTAAGGAGAATGCTGACGTTTGTCTGCCACCAAAGACTAACTGTACTGTCAAAGTCCTCTGTGCCCAGATGCATGTGCTCAACTGTGTATGCACACAGGGGTGTTATTCTACTTAGTTGACTGTCAGCACTTTCACACACTCAAATTTCATTCACCTCTGACAGTCAAAGACATTTTGTCCTGTCAGGCATTTTCATATGCTCACTGAGATGCTTCTCTGGCAGGTTATATTTACATCTTCACGTCCACTGTAAAAAAGAAATTCACGTTCCCAACCACAGATTACAGAGAATAGCTATCCCTCTGTTGGTCTCTGTACTTACAGATTCGGGCCAAAGATCCACGTTTACATGGTTTTCATCCTCAAAGCCCTCAGGCACTTTGTTTTGCATCAGCAAAGGGATGGTGACGTCCATCTCTGTTGGTCTCTGTACTTACGGATTCAGGCCATAGATCCACCTTTACATGGTTTTCATCCTCAAAGCCCTCAGGCACTTTGTTTTGCATCAGCAAGGGGATGGTTATTTTCTGACTGAGGGCCATTCTGCCACTGCTCAAGCTGTCTCCGTGAATCTACAAGCATGAGTCAGAGAAATATAAAGAACTTTGTTATGGAAGCCACTATTAATCAATCTCCAAGTATGCAATACACAGCTACACACACTAAACGGTTTTCCACATACAGTTTTATGCACCCCTTTGCAATATTTAGTGAGGAGTACTGACTTTCTGTGCACATGCTATAAAATGGCTACTGTTTGAGCTGTTCTATCTTCTTAAGTCATAAAATAAAAAGTAAGGCTAATATTAAAAAAGGCTCAAATTTCATGGCTGTTTGCTGCAGGGTGATGTGTTTCCTTCATTTCATGTCAAAGACCAGCGATTTTCTGGAGTATTAACCAGACCTTTCATACATCTGTATACACACCTTCAATGAGTTCTTTCACAGCCTGAGACTCCACTGAGTCGCCGTCTTGGGTTGTCGCTTGTGTTTTGCCTGTGCTTCCTTCACCCTGGCCCGCTCGGTCCGGTCTGTGCCAGTGGCTCTTCTGGATCAGAGGGATGATGAGCTCTTTGGGTTTCTCAGGCGGGTTTGAACTGCAGAACAAACGGAAGTTAGCGAGCTAGTAACCGGGACCACGTCATAACGAGATTTACGTTTAATGGTAAATACCATTAAATACTTCACATTAGCAACAGCGTATAATTACTTAATCAGTATCCAGTTAGCTATGTTAGCATGGTGACGTAGCTATTACGCTAAAACTGAGGTGGCTATACAAGTTAGCACTAGTATACGTAGCCTACCGTTGCAGTTCTTTATCAATTACGGTCAAGTAATCTCTGTCATCTTTCTTGGTCACAGCTTCGCCAGTAGACGGTTTGAATCTACTAAATGTTTTAGTGAATCCAAACGACACGATCGCTGCTTTTCTTTCTCCTTGGTTCTCGGTAACAGCAGACTTTGAGGTGACTCTCTCTTCTCCCTGCCACGCCATTATTGTTTGTAACCCAGAGAATAAGAGAGAGGAATTGTGGTAGTTGTAGTTTTATTTCACCGCGTTTAGTTTGTTTCTGTAGCTACAAATGACTACAATTCCTATTAGGCATCAAAATCAAAGCTACAACGACGCAGAGCGTAGGCGTAGAAAGGTTTTGAAGCACACAACTAAATTTTATTTGAATCCATTGCGGTACGGGGAGCAAACGAGGCAGAAGACAAATATGTACAATTAAGTGACAGCAATATGTGTGTCTTTGATAATACTGAATTCAATGAAATTTTTGGATTTAGGCTAATTGTCAGAACAGTCGTTGAAAGAGTCTTACTACAACTAGCCAATTTACATTTGTCATCAATGTATTTTTGACATTTTGGTAATTATATGGATCAGATTTTTTAAAAGTTATTCTTAGCGTTATTTTCAGGCTATGACCTACTTGCATCATATGGCCTTTTAGCCCCAGCTAAAGGCCTACATTACCCATTGGGAGTAATAGCTTTATTCAAGATAAAGTCACAGGTTTATAACCTTAAGATTTATTGCATAACATTATTATTCCTGGATACATATTGCAAATTAGGCTCGAAAGACTTATAATTAAATGACGTATTCACGCCTTTGAGCTACAACTTGGATATAAAGTCCTGGTTGTAAATTGTAGTCTAAGCGAAAAATGATGCTGCTGATGCAGGTACAGGGAGACCGAGAACAATTAGGGGCGGTACTTTTAACTCTTTTATTCCCTGCCCTACAGGCTCCTTAACTTCCCAAGATAAGCCCTCTCATTTACTTTTTTACCAGTGGATCTTTACTACTAAAATGTCTGGTTAGGAGCAGCAACAACAGCACTTTCTACTGGGCAGCAAAGACCACAGGCCTAATCTGATCCAATCTTTAACGACTGACGTCCCGCGCCCTGAAAGCACCTCGCCTTCTGCCCGCACAGTGACACCTCAGATCGGTCAAATCTATATTACAGACGTTTTGTCTTTTTGTCGGATGGTTACAGACTCAACCAAAATGTGTATACGTAGCCTAAATAATTAACCTGCCCACTTTGCCACATGAAGACCAACAGGAAGGATTTGACAAGGAGAGAGCGAACATGAAGGTAAGAAAATCTTCAGTCAAATCAAAGTCCACGACTAATTTTCCAGTAGGTAAAGACTTGACTGCACAAGTTAAAATAGCATATTTCCAACCGTGACACCACGTTGCACTGCTCAGCAGTGCAGCAGCTGCTAAATTTGTAAGCGGTCGTTGTTAGATTTGCCCGATAGAGAGAGAGAGTGTGTGTGTGTGTGTGTGTTTCCCTTTCTCTCCCCTCTCTCTCCCTCTGTACAACATCACCACAGCTCTCGCAGCATCACTAGTGTCCAAATATCCCGTCTGCCGTGCACATCGTCTCGGACTTTCTCTGGGATACGGTGCTACCATCTACTCATCACTGCATTCCCACACTGCTTTTTTTTATCACACACCAGTCTGCTGTCTTTTTCTTTTAAATAAAACAACTGGCATTTATTCAAGTACTGGTTTATTATTTCATCTCAGCCGGGTCAATGTATATAGACGCGTTCAAACGGATCCTCTTTGAAAGGCTGAACTGCTTGAAAAGAATGTGTGTGTGTCAGCGCCAAGGCAGGTGAGCATTTTCCCTAAACATGGGAAATCTGAGAATTTGTTGTGTGCAACCCAAACGTGTGTGTGGGTGTGGGTGAGAGAGAGAGAGGGTGTGTTTGTGCATGTAAACTACTGTAGTCAGCCTGTGTGAGTTTGTGTAAGAGTGTGAAGAATGTGGGTTTGTGATGATGGTGGCAGATCTTAGGGAGAGGTGTGTCATTAAGACAGATGAAGTTTACCTTTTTGTGTGATTGTGTGTATAACTCCTCAGCAGGTTTGAAAAGTTTGTTATGATGTTGTGTTTTCCCTACTTTTTCAATCTCCTGCTCCAGAAACGGTCTTAATAAAATGTAATCAGACGTCCACGTTCATGCACCTGTGCCCATGTTGCCATAAGAAGTAGACATGAAACATGCGCTCTGTAGTTCACAGCCAGGTGTGTATGCATGTGTGTAGGCATGTGCATGAGTGCCTAATGGCTCTCTGTGTGTTGTTGTTTGTTTAGGGTGTGTCCCTGCTTCACACAGGGAGCTTGTTTAGAAGTAATGGATGTGCGACCCTGACCTAATAGTGTGCATTGCACTGGGTTTGGAGTGTAGTCAAGGTTACGCTGTGAGTCTGTCATCCATTTGAGGAGACTGAGACATGTGGTGTTACTCTGTCCACATATGCTCTCATGTTGCTCTGGTCCTTACACTGTTTGATTTCCCTCTGTCTCATCTATGAGCCCAGCATCTGTTTGGCACAACAATTAAGCAAAGCCTTGTGCATTTATCCTTCTTTGATTCCAGTTCTCAGCCCGAGTTTTTAAACCGCCAGTGAGGGGAAATGCACGTTGATGTGGGAACATGACTCTGCTTTCACTGCTAACGAGAGGGGATGATGGAGTGGGGCGCATTCCTCCCCTGTCATCTGGGAGTTGTTGATTGTCTAATTATCTGCCTCCTATGTCCTTCGGCATCATGCATATTCATACTGCTGTTTAAAGGTGCGGTGAAAACAAAGTATGCATGTGTGTTCGGGGGCTGTGTTGCGCGTGTATGTGCCAGGCAGTTTACCCTTGACAGGGCAGGGCTACGCAGGCACATTCTCCCATCTGTGGTCCAAACCTTTGCTCCCAGCCAATGCCTTTGGATTCTGCAGTTGTAGCCTGCTCTATTCTTAGTTTCAACAGTTTGTGTGGAGTTTGACATGAAATTTCAGCCACAACAACAACATTCCCATGCTGGAGCTATTGCTTGTGCCCCTTTAGGCTATACTATAAGCTGAGATTCAGTTTGGATTGGTGAAGCCACTGGACGCCGACATACAGCATAGGTAGCAAATCAATAACTAATCAATGAGAGCATGTGGGCTTAACGCTTTACACAGTGCCATATTTGAAATGTCAAGAAGGCCATGAATCCATGTAGCCTTGAATTAGATCTGAATTGGACAACTGGGATCAATATCAGGTGGTGAGACAGGCAGCAGGAGCAGGCCAGGGTCACCTTCACCCACCCCTACTGATTCAGCAATATCTCTCTCACACTCACACACACATTCACATGAAGGCCTGCTTAGGTTACCAAACTGCGACCTCACAGAAATGCTCATTTTTGGTAAACTGAACCTTTCTTGCATTTACTTATGAATAATTCATTTTGACATTATGATTTCAGCCACTCTTTTATAAAGCTACTGCACCTTTCTCTGTGGTGACTCCACTGTTTTGTTTGATTTTCCTTCAAGGCGAGCACTGGCTCCATTTTCTAAATCATTCACTTTTAGTTTCCCTAATCTCTCTTTGCTTTCCCTGTTACCATCTGTCCTATCCATCATCATTGTCAAGCAGCCTTTCTGTTCTGTTTAATTAAACTGCTCTGTCTTCCTGGTGAGAGCTCATATCTGATCACAGCGAGGGTTGTAATGTGTCCTGGCAGATTGAGTAAGAGGACCTGATGTCACGCTGGTATTCCTCAGAAGAGCAGAGTGTATACAACAGAGCATGCCCCAGGACTGTGTCTCCTGCCTTGACTTTGATCCTGTGGTGTAAAGAAACCATTTTACCACTGGGAACGTCCCTGAGCCGGTGTTAACCTGTCAGGTGTGTCACTCCAGTACTCAGCAAGGTTTTAATCTGTGTCCCTTTGTATGAAGTCAACACAAGAACAGCTTTAATAAAATCACACACTGGCATAGATGTTATTGATGGTGTGTAGAGAATAGTGAATTCCATTTTCATTCCATTTGTTCTTGTTCATGTATTCACTTTATATGTAAGATGTAAGAGAGAGCAGAGTTTCTGTACATGTGAAGGACAGAGGAGGATATTTTGTGTTTTTCAACTAACAAGAATTGAATCTTTTATTTTAAATCTGCCACTGCTGTCTGTTTTGTGTTGAGAACTCCCGTGCCCTAGATTTAAAAGTGAGTGAGCATCAGGGAGCTTTAGTACACCCCGTGTTGCTCGCACCGTGTCAGACTTCGGAGGGAGAAGTCAGGGCACGCAGATAAGACGGTGAAGTAGGAGCCCGGTGCTTTTGGGCATTTTATTTGTCTGTATGCCATCCCACCAGTCTGTTAGCTATGATAAATTTAAGGTCACAGGTTATTTAAGGTACCTTACGTAGCTGACCTCCAGCACCACCCACACACTACTGATGCTGGAGGATTAGGAGCAGTTCAGTGCAGGGTTAGGGTGAAGACATGAGCCCAATGTTCTGTGGTTTGTTCCCTTCACCTGTCCTGGACTTTGCACAAACTACCTCCTTTGCAAGTAGCGGGTCAACTCACACAGTCAAATATTTCATTGTATGTAGTGTCATTGATGGAAATGTTTCAGAATGTTTAGATTTTTAGATTAGATTTAACATGTATTATAGACTACCTGCAAAATGAATGTCGCATAATGTAGAGCTGATAGAAAATTAATTGGCAACTCTTTTGAAAATGTATTCATTGTCTTAAGTAATTTTTCAATCAAAAATGTCAAACACTTGCTGGTTGCAGCTTCTCATTTGTGACGATTTGCAGGTTTTCTTAGTGTTATGTGGTAATAAACTGGATAAAACTGGAGAAAACAACAGGCATGAATGGAAAAGCTTTAGGAAACTGTAATGGGCATTTTCACAACCTAAAAATATTTGTAGGTTGCAGGCCAGTATAATAAATAAAAAAATTATGAAATCACCAATAATTAGACTTTAAATTAAAATGCACAATTTATTTGTATTATTTAGAGTTGCTACAAAGATTATTGTAATTAGCAATCAACTATTATTCTTATTAATTCATTTATTGTTTCATCCATAAATTATTATGAAAAACAATACAAATAGTTTATAAAAACACCCATCACAAGTTCCATGAGCTTAAGACAGCATCATCAAATCGCTTGTTTGCTTTGACAAATTATTCCATTTAGAGCTGAAATGACTAGTTGTTCAGTAGTTCATGTCATTTTAAAGTAAAAACTGCCAAACAGCCTCAGGCTCCATCTTATCCTTAGTCTTTGAGAAATTGTAGTGGTCATTTTTTGAGATTATATAGATTTTATTTATTCTTAATGTTATTGCTGATTCAGTTAATTTGCCATTCATGGAGCCAATTCCAGCTCCTTTTGGGCAAAAGGTGGAGCACACCCTGAACAGTTGAATGACATAAATGATTACAGGATTTTAAAAATAGTTTACAGTGGGTCAACTAATCCAAATTAACTAAATTAAATGTGTCATCTTTAGTATTAGTCATACAGAATGCTCTCTTAATGTTTACCTTTGGATGTGCAGTAACAGTGCAGTCAGTTAGTTAGTTAGAAATGTATTAAGTAACATATTGAACCATGCAGACTTTGGTCTGGTCTGTGCAGACTTCTAAAGAACCTTGAGTTCGATTGTTTATTCATTGCGAGTGCTTGCAGAGGGACCGACAAATGGCTCCCCATTAGGCAAGCTGGTCACATTCTAGCTGACAAAACACACAGTCAGTCCATCAATAATCACCAAAATTCACATTTAGAAAAGACAACTATTCAGTGCCTTGAATTTTTAGTGAACATGTATAAAATACCTAATAATCTTGCATAAAGTCACAGAACATTCAAGCTGAGCTATTTGAACAGGCTGATTTCATTATGGTAAACCTCATTTAAAGCAGAAACATAATGCGGTCAACAAAGCGAGTGCGGTTCCACTGTGGCAAAACAACAGAGGCTTTTATGAGCAAAAACCGACTCATGTAGTGAAGACAAGCTGTTCAGTGACACGAACCTTCGCAATTAGACAATCGGACTGAACGTGCCCCAGTTAGATTAGTGTAATATCTCACAGGAAAAGCTGTTGAAAGTTTCTCGTCTTTGCAGAAGTTTAACAAACTCTAAAGGACGGCATTTAGATAGACATCAGGAACATGGGGAGAGTCACGAGAGCTGACAGGCACTGTTATAGAAAGAGAAGGGAGTGTTAGAATGGATGCCAGAATGAAGGTGAAACTCGTGTCTGGTTGATG